CCCCAAAACCCCAAAACCCCAAAACCCCAAAACCCCTTTGTCCAACTACATTTTTGGAATTAATATCTTTTTATAAACTTTAATGAAAGACCGGTTTGTTGAAGAGGAGAAAGACACAGAAGAATACACTCTGGACTGGAGCAAGATTGGATTGACTCATTTTGACACTTTTGATGATAAGGAGAATGGCCTTAGCAATAGCTTCGAGGAGGAATTTGTTACTGAGCATCATTTTTGGAAGCAGACTGGAGCGAAGGGTTCCAATTTTTGAATAGGAGGAATTCCGGTCAAAGAAGAGGAAGACACTTGGGCTCCACCAAAATTTTCAAAATACTCATTTCTTTCTAATGAAGATACTAGGAATATGCAGATTCAGAGGGAGGGTTCTAATAATGAAACTAAGAAGCAGCAAGCTCTATTCACTCAATTAGAAACCCCTACTCCAAAGCCAAAAACACCATTTGCAAATTCATCAATTTTGAACATCCCTTCACAAAAACCTACACATTTTCAACCTCATCCCAAACCAGCACCAATAACCTCTAAACCACCTCTAAAGACCTCAAAATCCTACTCCCAACCTCAACCTCTTCCTCGTTCCTTGCCTTCATCAACCCCACCCCAGGATAAAAATTTAGCTCCAAAGCCAATAAACTCGCTCTCAAAACTCAAAAATCAACTTCAAAAGCCATTAGTCCTCTCTAAACCCTCTCACAACCCTAGATACCCCCACACAGGACCCAAAAAGCACTCTACAGCACCAAGACCCAAATTTCCTCCTAAAAAACCTAAAAATGCTAAAAACAACTACAAAGACTGTAGAATCTCCCTGAAGGCCATCAGATCAGGGACCGACACTCGTAGCTCAATAATGCTTAAATAACATCCCGAACAAGTACGATCAAAAATCCCTGCTGAAAGAGCTAGATCTGACTACTGAAAATAAGATAGATTTCTTCTATCTCCCCATTGACTTCAAGAATCACTGCAACAAAGGCTTCGCAGTTATTAACTTCAGAGAATACACTGACATCATCGACTTTTATGAAGAATGGGAAGGCAGACAATGGGGTAAGTTCAACAGCAAGAAGATAGCAGCCCTCGCCTATTTTACGAAGCAGAATAAGGATGAACTAGCCTCACACTTTTTGAAAACTCCTGTAGCTGGAGAAAGAAGTTCTAAAGTCAAAGCTCTCGTGTGGGAGTAGGACTAACATGGATCTGATAGTATAATTTTGAATAAATTCACCCAATATGGGGTTCTTTTTAAGGGGTTTTGGGGTTTTGGGGTTTTGGGGTTTTGGGG